CAAATTATTAACAACTCTTGTGGCAGGCACGACTCCATCAGTGGAAACAAAACAGCAGCGTATTTATCAGAACTGATGCCCAAGGTGGCAAGCGCTCTTAACTGTGTCTCTATCTGATCATATAATTTAGTCAAATCCATTTTTTGATGCGAATCATTACATTTTAGAACTAGTCTTAGCAACTCGTGCACGTAGAACTCTATTTGCAAATCTTCTCGCCCAAAACTACTTTTCATACACTCAATAATTTTATCATAGTTTTCGCCAAGACTTGGTAAACTCTCTACTATCTGACGCGCACCACTGCCTGGAACTGTAGCTTGTATCAAGTATTCGATTTTGTCGCAGTTTCCTATCTCACTATCGCTGTGTATTTTTTTAAACTGAGACCAAAACCCTACCCACTCTCTTATGTTTCCATCATATTGTTTAAATTGCATTCGAGGTAGTTTAAATTTGTCCTTACCTGGTGTAAGGTCAATGTTTACATTACCCTCGCTGCCATCTCTAATAACTGGTCCTACTGCAGGCTTCAACAGACACCTCTTGATTCTTAACTTACGTTCTGTAAACCGTTTCAAGTAGACCTCTCGTTCATCCATAACTTGTCTTACTGCAGGCTTCAACAGACACCTCTCGATTCGTAACTTAAGCTCTGTAAACCGTTTCAAGTAGACCTCTCGTTCATCCATTTCTATCAACAACGCTTCCTCCTCCACGTCTTCTTCAAGCATTATGTCATAGATCCCATTATCACAGGCATTTAAACTGTCCCACTTGGTCTGTAAGCACTTCCAAAATAGTTCAACACTGCTACTCACCAAAGGAACTTGTATTAAATGTCCGTCTAACTCATTTGCGATCTTCATAAAGGACGCGCGGAGAACTCTCTGATTTTTCCTTTTTTGATTTCAGGTTGTCAACCATTTTTACCTCTGTTTACTTTTCGTACGTACACTTATTCTTTTGCAACTGTATTTACACGCAATGTCCTGTCACGGTCGCCAAAAAATGTTGTATCCCGCCGAAGATCAAATTCACCGTTTCGATTCTGGTCGGGACAATATTGCGTTGCCAATACTTGCACACGTTGAATAAGTGTTGTGCCCACTATTTCTTGTAGTCTTTGCCTGTTAAAATGTAATTACAATTAATGTCCTTCCATCTACAATGCTAACATAGTATCGTTTCTTTTTGGGTTTTGTTTCATGGCCTACTTAAAGGTTTAAATAAATCGTGAACAAATCCATTCTCATCCATCATGTGGTATATTTTTGAAGAGAATTTAATATGCTCTCTTTTTTAGATTAAAGTATACGGAGTGTCCCATCTAAAAAAAATGAGGTTAGGTCCGATAACTTTTTTATCTGATCCCTGACCCCATAATTATACCTATTTTGAAAATGAAAAATTATTCAACAATCATTATAAAGAGACTATTGTGACAAACATTATTTTGTATTTTTTAACTAAGACAATATGGAGCGATTCTGAAATTGACAGTTTTTTGGTTTTCTTCCGTATCTCCTAAGGGAGCAAATTATTTTCAAATTTTGATTTTACCATTTTAAGTTTGACCCAAAAAGTGCACAATTACGGAGCTGGGGCACCCTGTACATTTGAAGGTAAGTGTTAATTATTAAATTGTGTTTGATATTTCATTGTGTACTGTTACTTTTTGTCCCTCATTGCCTTTTAAACCATCCAGGAGAAATAGTCCCTTCAAAAGAAGAAGAGTTCTCAAATAAACATGTTGTACAAACTACGTCATGCGGACATTTTGTTTGGTTTCAGCACCTACAGTAATGTTGGGTCACCCTGTAGATGATTTATTTCATTTATTTTTGTCGTTTTGGCGGTTGTGTGGTGACGCTTTGACGTTTTTGATAACGGTGTTATAGCTCGTTGCTCCGGTGCTTGTGTTCACTCTTTTTGGAGTAACAGGCGAGGGAGATTAGGTAGCTGCGATACGTGCACATTATAGGAGCGGTGTAGTTCCCACGTTTTGAAGCAGCGGTAGCCCTTGGAATATTGTCACGCTATAGGAGCGATGGTGGTCCTACGCTATTAACAGCGTTAGATATTTCTATGGTGGTCTATGCTATGTGCAGAGGTACCCCTAGAGGAGATCCTCTTTCGCTGAACAGCTGAAACAGATTTTTACGTTTTTACGCCGATGCACGCTCTTTTATACCTTATTTCTACGGTGGGGGATATCCACGTAACCGGCACCGAGTGGCACGACGTTTTTTTTTGGTGGGGGTATAATACTGTCAGGTTGTTGGCGACTTTAGAACAGCTGGCGGCAAGTGTTGCCTCGACTGTCAAACACCTGCCCGTTTGATATAAACATGTGGCTTTGCCATATAAACGTTACAGTACCCCATTCCTAAGTCACAAAATCGTACGTCTTTCACTATGTTCTTGATGGGTGGGGTCTGTAGTGCGGGGTTGGCGTGTTGGGTGCTGAATTGCTTGGTTCACGTGGTGGACGTGTGCCGTTTCAGTTATCTTGGCGATGGTGTCCACCAGCTCGTAGGTATCTAACGTTTTGATTTCGGTTTTGACATTTCACTCCCGTTTTTGACGTTGTTTCCCTGATAAGAAAACACAGGGGTTTAATATCGTTAGACGGTGTAATAATTTTGATAAATAAGTAGATGCGGAAGGTGTAGAAGGTCGTCAAATGGAAGAGCCGGACGCGAATCGTGTTTTTTTATGGTGGACGTTAATCGTTGCGTTTTGTTTTGGTGGATCTTTTGGCAGTCTTCCGTAATTGAGCATTTCGTTGCAATACAGTCGATCTTGTTAATTGTAAAGTCGTAGAAGAAAGATGGAGAGTGTTTAAAGGTATTTTATTCCGTCGTTTAGAGTGAATGTTTAAGTGGTGTTTAAGCGGAAGCGTCTGTTTACGTGTACGAAAAAGTTAAGTGTTGTGTTTATCGAACATTTATTGCAAAAGGAAACCTTTTTATACGGATTCCCAGTAACCGTTAAAGGGAGTTTTTCCACCGGCAAAGAGCCAATATCACATCTGCAAGTACCACGAACCTACTGTCGTGTAAATCGAGATGCAAGTGAAATCTGAGGAGCAGATCACTGTGGAATTCTTGTGTGCTCTTGGAATTTATGGAAGTTTTTTGGAATTCCTGGAATTATTTTGAAATTTACGAAAATCTTACGGAAATCATGAAATTATTTTGGAATTCTGTTTTTTATAAGTTATGGTTTTGGTTGTGACTTACTTTTTATAATTTTTATAAAATTACCTAGAATTCAGACAAAATTGCCGTAGGCATCCGCACTTAAAGAAGGAAATGAGGTAGGTTCTTACTTTTCATATCTAATTTCTTAAAAAAACGAGCTGATTTTGGTGAAATTTTGGAGGTATTCTTTACATAAATTCGCGTTACTTACTTAAGACAAAATAGTACCTGGGAAGATCCTAGAAATGTGCGGCTGGTGAGCGTGCTTGAGGAGGTGCGCGCGTACTAAAAAATTCGCGGATCCGAGACAGTTGAACGTACGGCATCGGCCCATAGGATCGGGGTGGAGTGTCGAGCGCAACTTCGACGGGGTGGAGAAAATTTCTCCGGCAATCGTAGGGGTGACTGGTACGAAGCGAAAAAAACGAGAAAAAAAGAGAAAAAATTCGTAGCTCGGAAACTACTAGTAGCGATTTCCGTAAACATTCAGAGATTGCGGAGGACTGCACGTAGGAGGGTTGTTCTGCCGTGGTGCGATTAAAAGTGATAATTGCTACATACGTCATATAGGTATCAAACGAAAACTTATAATCTCAAGAGGTGGACCTCCCCCTTTCAACCTTTTATTCCCAACAGAAGCCCCTCAGACAACGGCCGAATGGGCAAAGAAGAAAAATTCCAGTTCTACAGCAATTTCTCAAATATTAACTTCTAGTTTTCTTTTATTTAAAAGTGTATAGCAGTAGCACTTAATTTAAGTCTTTATTTAATATCGATTTCATTGGAAAAATGACTGAATGCATTATTTCGATGCCAAAGGTTTGACGCAATTTTGGTGGCAATGTGTATTTAGACCAATAGGTGTCGAAATCTCACTAATTTCATTAAAACGTGGAAACTCTGTACCTGGATGGCTAAAGGTGCGTACAAACTTGAGCACGCACGCGAATGAGGCAAGCCGTGGCATTTGGTACGGCCTCGAGTGGAAAAATGTAAGGAAAAAATTGCCCACGCACGAGGTAGACCGCGCAAGTGTGCGTGTTCGTTCCAGTCGTGCTCGGGACGTCTTTACAAACCAATTGAAAAAGCTAAAACGTACGCACACGACGTCCACACTGAGCACGAACCAAGCACGAATTCCTTTGATGGACCGAAAGCGGTTGGATCACTCCGAGCACGCACAACGAATGGGTCGAGGCAGTTTTCCTTTCCTTGTTCTGCTTCGGATGGACGTCCACACTTGCATGCTCAGACGCGTTCGTGCTCAGGCTTTAGACGTAGGTAACTTCTATGGATTTTCAATGACCTACATTTGGATCGAAAGGTGTGAAAATCGTTATTTTTTCACTGATTTAGTTGAGAAAACTCTTTATCTTGATGTCAATAGGTACAGTTGCGGAAATAAAATTAACTTACAATTATAGCGTAAATATGGAACAATACGTGTTTAAAATGTGTTTACGTAAATCGGAGAAGCAAATTTTACCGCAAACTCCTATAAACCAACAACAATCACTTTGATGAACACTAAAGTGGATTTAGGTTTCTCATATATGTAAAACGGCTGTAGATGAGTGACACTTAAATTTTGTGGGGTAAGAAAAGATTCGATAAAAAAATATATATGCGCAAAATACAATTTGACTTGAACACGTTTCTCAACCTGTTGACAGAGCTCCACACTACGAACGTTTATTAAATTCGGTCTTAGAATTACAGAAAAATATTGAAAGAATTTAAAACACTGGGGAAAAATTCATCTTCCCGGAATTATAATAAATTCTTTATTATTTTTAGGTTTCACGGTATTTATTGGCCCTCATTTCTACTTGCCGCGAATTTAGAACTTCCCAAAACCCTCTTTTGCCATTCTCATTGGACCGTGGATGATGAGAAAATGTCTAAATCAAAGAACAACGTCGTTTCTCCATTTAATAGAAGTTTATTGTACACGTGCGACGGTTTAAGGTACTTTCTATTGAGGGAGGGGGTGGCTCATTCGGATGGAAGTAAGTGGGTTAAAATGAAATTTTTCCTACATTATTGACTTAATCGCAATTTTCTAGATTATAGTGACACAAAACTTACCCGCATTCTCAACTCGGAGCTGGCGGATACATTGGGTAATTTATTAAGCCGCTGCTGCAGCTCTGCTTTAAATCCTAATCAGGTATTTCCGGAAATTGATTCTGAAGCTTTTGAACGAGTGGCTTCCATGGACGTGACAAAGAAAATAATGGACGCTGTCATGAAGCTGCCAGGTAAATCCCCAAATTAATTTCTATGAAGTTTTGTAAGTCGTCTCGCGATGACAGAAAATCGTATATTTTCTTTTTATTCTGCCATTGAAATGGGAGTGGGAATTCAAAAGAATAATTAGGCACGAGATATTGCTTTTCTGCGTTTCGCTAGAGAATTAGTTAATATTCGAAAATTTTTATTTTGCTTCACGGCGAAATTAAAAAGAACTGGAAGTCGTTAAAAATTGCACGTTCCACACATTTAAATGATAATTGAAACGAGAAAATGTACTTTAAAGAATTGGCATCTGGACGAAGTTATGTGCTAGTTTTTGCCATCCATTACCCTATAATGAAATGACCTAGAAGGGTTTCATGAGCTGGCGAATGATGATCACTACGTTCCAGGAGGTACTCATAAATTGCTGGTTTGGGGTTTAGAAACTAAACAAAATTGGTTACAAGGTAATAAGCTTAATCTAACATTTTAGCATTTTAACAATTTAACAAAACCTCCGAAATATTCTTTCCCGTACCAATCACATGAGGATATTCATCCTCAGTGTATCCGCTTCCGGTACATACTTACTGGGTATATTCGCCTTGTAATTGTTCGCTCTGGAAAGGTCCTCCACGAAATATTCACCCTGAGGGACTTCAGCTTCGTAGAAATTTACGAGGGCGAGTGTCCGGAAAAATATTTCAAAGACGAATATACATGGGACCGTAAATCCAGGGACAAGTTTTTATTATAAAATTGCCGGATCTAATATTCCGCCAATTTTAAGAAATTTAGGCCCGGTCTTTGTGAGCGAACTTAGTGGGAATCCCGCTGGGGATACATTTGTCGGACGAATCTGAGTGAGGAATATATGATATTATTAGGGCCATCATGTCGGGAGTGAATATTCCAGAGGCAAATCCCCTATCTACGGAGATGATTGTACCAAAGCCGAAGTTACGCGGAGCCAAGTTCCGTCGAAGGGAATATTTCGGAAACGATTCTCCACGCTTCCGGAGTGGCATTCCTTGAGGGATGGAAGGTGAGGTGATAATCACGCGGGTGAGTTTACTTATAAGGAGACTCTCGGGCCATATAAGTACCTAGTGGGTGAATTTGTGCAGGCGGTTCTATCGTCTCGAATTACCTGATATTTACGGCAAGGAATATTATGATTATTTCTAAAAAGGGGAGAGGCAAGATCTTATGAGTAAAATCCAAACGCGAATTTTCTGGATGGTTGGAATCCAACGAATGCTCTTAGGGATCGGGAGTGAATTTTCCGGGGGCAAATTTTTCATGGGCGATTTTTTGTAGCTTTTTTGCCTCTTAAAATCAAGAAGAAGTATTTCAATAGCAATTTCCTAGTCACAATTTACTTGGAGGTGAGTTTCTTTCAAAGCGAATACTTCGGAAGTGAGCGTTCCCATTTGTAACTCCTTGGGAGGAAGGGGGGGGGGGGTTGCGTACCAATTTCGCAGGTGGAATTCAGCTTCAGTGAATGGTCTGTGCTTTGCTCTATATTTGGCGGTGGAGGGGGGGAGGGAAGTATTCCAAGGCGAATATTCCCGAGACTTAATTCCCGAGAGAATGGTATTATTATGAATTAATCGGCCAGTATTCGTCTTGTGAATTTGCCGCGATGACTTTGGTGGGCGAATTTCGATGATCATATATGCTTAGGGATAATATCCTGGAGTGCCAAGAATATTTCTGGAACAATTAATGTACCTAGTGGCATCGAATGTCCGAAGGCCAACAAGCAAAATCTCGTCTAACCCCAACCGCTGTAAACAGGAGCCCATATTCGAACCAGAAATGATCAGTGCCGTAGTCGAGCAGAGATTCCACTACCCCCATGGCGGGGTGAAATGGCCGGGTCGATACTGAATTTTCTGCAGGCGAATTTACCTTGGGGCGATTTGTATTGCAACCGAATATTTTAGCTGGGCAATTTGTTGTGAATGTCCGGAGCGATAATTTGGGGTTGAGTGCGTATGAGTCCAGTTAATTAACCGCATTGAATTGCGTTAGTTGGGGAATAATCTGAGAGCGAATACCTCAAAGTATAATTTGCTTCTTTTCTAGTCATTTGATTTGATCTACATAAATATTAGTATTGTTTAGGATGTGACAGTCTCTTCTACCTGCGATTACGGTTCCGATTCCGGTTCCGATAAACCATATTCAACAACTCCGCTTCCGAATTCGCTTCCGATATAACCACTTCCGTTAAATCCCTAGTTCATAAGAACAGAGGGAGAGAGGAAAAGAAGAAGAGGGGGCGAGAGGAAAAGAAGAAGAGAGGAAGAGGGGAACAAAGGAAGAGATTTTGAAAAATTTTCAAGAGATTTCGATGAGACTTTGAAGAGATTTAGAAGATATTTTGAAGAGATTTTGTAGAAATTTTAAAGAGTGTTTGAAGATATTTTGAAGAGATTAAAAAAATTTTTTAAGTAATTTCGAAGAGATTTTGCAGAAACTTGAAAGTGATTTTGTAGCAATTCTAAAGAGATTTAAAAGAATTTTTCAAAAGATTTCGATGAGATTATGAAGAGTATATTAAAAGATTTTAAAGATATTTTGAAGAGACTTAAAGGATTTTTAAGAAGATTTGAAGAGTTTTTGAAGACGTTATGAAGATATTTTGAAGAGATTTTGAGAGATATTCCAGAGGTTTTTAGTTTGTTTACAGAGATTTTGAAGAATTGTTGAAGAGATTTTGAAGAAACTATGACGAGAAAGAGGTAATTGGTGGGCATCATATGATTTATGTTGCCCGAATATTGCGAGGAAGGAAATTTCGTTGGCTGTTCTTCCGATGCCAAATTTAACGGCGGCGATTATTCCGGAAATTTGTTTGAAGCAAGCTTTCACCAATGTTGGTAGCAAACATTCCGGAGAGGATGTACCAAGGACAATAATCCTGGCGTGTTCTTGGCACAATCGATGCCTTGGGTAGGAGAATGCTCCAGAAGTAAGTTTCTTTGAAGCTGAATATTTCAGGGCCAGTCTTCGCGAGCGGATATCCACGGCAAGTATACCGGATGGTTGATTTTACGTTGATGAATTTTTAGGAGGCGAATTACTTCCGTGGGTAGGTAAATGTTTCGGGAGTACCTATATTCTAAAGAGCAAATTTTATAGGTCTTCAAACCTGTTTCTGAGTCAATTTACACGGGTTCATATGCCAATGCCCCAAAATAATTATTGCCATCATTAAAATAGTTCCGTTTAGGTTGATTTTGGACTTTTTGAATTCATTTCATCAGATCTTGTCATATCCTTTTTACCTATCGTCGTTCTTTTTTCTCATTACGTTTGTGCTTTGCTATGTACCGTGTGTCATATTTTGGTTGAGACTGCAGTGTATCCTGTGTATTTCAGCTGTACAGATAAAGAAGTTTTCGCAACCCTGTGCCATATTTTTTGTGAAATTTGTACTACCACAAACAGAATCAATCTACCTTTATTTCTGATGAGATACAGGATGAAAATCAATAGTTTGACTTTTTTTACTACCCATGTAAGATAGAAAAAAACGTACAAACTGCCTAGTCTAGGTTTTTCTACGTAGAATCCAGTAGCGTAGTTAAAAAATGTGAGTAGAAAGGTACGATAACATCACAAAAAGTCAAACTTTTCGTTTCTACCCCAAGATCATCAGAACTTGAATTTGCTTTACACCCACTGGCTTATTAATTAGGTAATATTAATATTGAAAATCGCATGTATATTCCTCTATTATCGCTGAATTAATCCAACCAATTCTCATTATCTTCTCAATAGCTCGGTTAGTACAGAAGTCCTAGCTACACACGGCTATTGTCTAATCAATAGAACGCGAGCGGTGTGTGCGTTTTCGGCGGATTCTCGGATAACAAATCAGATTGAAGCGGAATTAATAATAATACCTACCGTCTTTTATATCTGATATGAATTTTGTTTTCTGTAGACTTACCTTACTTCTACTCTCTTTTCAGAAATATGCGAGCAACACTATTCGGACTTAAACTTTTATAAGGTGGTCGATGCAACTATTGCAACGCTGCACGTTACGAATTTATTTTTCGAGAGCATCAAACCGTGGGAATTAAGGAAGAAGCCGGAATCGATGGACCAATTGAACGTCGTCTTGCATTTAACTTTGGAAACATTGAGGATCTGCAGTATTATACTGTCTCCCATAATACCTTCAATTTCCGACCGTATATTGAACAAAATGAGCGTGCCTAAAAGTCGAAGGCTATGGAAAGAAGTGCGGAGTCAATCGTGGAACGACCCCAGTTTCAAACAGGTTAAATTATCAACAAGTACGGCTGTCATTTTCCAACGTATTCTGGACGAGAGGAAGAAAAATAGTAGGTTGTAACAGTAAAAATGTACAGTTTTCATTTTTATTTCCTTCTCTATGTACACGTATTTCCAAGATACATTTATAGTAAGGGTATAAAACATTGATTTTGTTCAGTAATCAGCACGAATGTTGGATAAGAATAAATTATGTACAATATTGGGTATAATTTATAACAATTTGTAAATATTAAAAGATATGTTAATGTTGATTTAAAGTGCAGTGAACGTATTAGAGAGCTTCTCACAGGTAGGTAACTAACTATTCTATCTTAATATGTACACACACCCTGTAGATTGAGTTGTCATTTTTAAGAAGGGCAGACCAGTTCTAGTGGAATAAACTAAATCACAACCGCGTAGGAAGTTTGAGATTACGATATGCTATTTACACGTACCGCGTTGAAGTTACATTTATGATATGACAGGAATCACAATTAATGACTAGTGCTTTACATTATTTGTACAACATTAAACCAATTTTTACCACCAATATACACTGACATCTATTAGATCAGATTTCGTAGATAGTGTTTTACGTAGATACCCTAATTCTGCAAATAAATCGCTCTGGCGAATAATCCTCAAAATGGTTTAAACGAAAAATGACACAGCCGTTTATCAAGTCGCTTCACGACCCCGAAAGTAGGTCAATCATCCAGTTTGGCTATACCATGGTATCCCGAATATTATCACAGTCTTGTCAAATGGCACTTGCATCGTCATCCAGTCCGTTGCGCTCTGTAGAATTAACTCTAGTTTGACGCACCGTTTCCGTACTCAAATGTTCACTCGAAAACTCTCTGAAGGATCCATTTCCTCTAGCATTTACGATGACAGTTTTTGTACCGTGGTCGGTAATGAACTTGTCATTTGTGTTCAGGGAGACCGACTCGTAGCCACATTTGCACCAGTCTGGGTAGTGGGCGGTTAAGATACGCTTGAACGCTTCCCGAAATTCGGTATTGAATATGGAATAAATGATAGGGTTAAATGCGGAATTTGAATAACCTAGCCACGTTAGTATCTTGAAAGTAATATCCGGTATGCACGTTTTACAGAACGCCGCTACTATATTAATGCAAAAGAATGGTACCCAACAAATGAGAAAGACGCCCATTATAATACCAACGGTAATGGCTGCTTTGTGATCACTGACATGGTACGGGGAACTGTGGTGATTGTGTAAGTGAATGTGCAGAGCTTTGTTCTTCTGTTTCAGGCTCTTCTTTGTATCGTTACTTCCAGGTATGTCTATGGGTCGCGTTATTGCACGTATGTTTTTTACGTGCTTTTGAGCGTAGCAGTACAGCCTACAGTAGATACCTGCAAACACAAAAATTACCTATAATGATTACAGTCAATTTAGAAATAGATAGCTAACAATAACTTGACATTTTCATATACCAAGATTAAACAATTGTTTTATGGGCAAGTGGTAGATTACCGATTGGAAAGTCGTTGGAATGGTACGATAAATTAATCTCTACCTGCCTATAGGGTTCTTTTAAATTATGCTTTTTGAATTCGGTAGCTTTTTACGATTAATGTGCGCATGCGCAACTTGCGCAATATCAACTTTCTTTTTCTGAAATTTTAACCAATGCCAACTTTTATTTATGTAGACATTTCTTTCAAATTTTGACCATAGATGCTTCTATCACAAAAAAAATGCACATAGCTATACAGCCTTTTGGGAAATACTGATCAATGCATGCAAAAAGGCGCCTTAGGGCGAAAACCTTTTGTTTTAATTTTTTGAAAATTTCGCCGCAAGCCGTACTACAAGGCAATTTCATTTTACATTGATTAATTGAATTGAATGCGTAACAATTTGCACGTAGCTTTTAATCTTCACAAACTTTGCGAGTGTGTCAATTACAATCTACGACCAGAGTTTGCTCTTAAATTATGTTCTGAGGGCCGATTATTTTATCTCTACTGCAGCGGTTTGGGTGGGGTAGACTTAAATCCTTATTTCTTTTCGGCAAAGAAAAAGATGTGGATAGTTCAGAAATCAGGATATTGATAAAGAAGGAGGTTGACCGTGTCCGCCGTTCGTTTGTTCGTTAGGGTTAGAATAGGGGACGGATAATGCACCTAGTGTAGCATGTGCTTAGTAAAGTAAATAAGTGGCAAAGATCTGAGGATCAGCGTTCGTTGAGCCAAACGACCTAACACGGTTTCGGACACTCAATTTTACTGCTATCCCTATAATTTAAACAAGTTAAAAACGTGGTCACTCGCGACCGCCGAAAGCGCATTTTCCCCGCACAGAATTAGTAATGACTCGAGAAGGAAGTGACCGATCCAAATAAAGTTTCATCGTTCTGGTCTCTGGGCTGTACTAAACCGCGTAAGAAAGAAAACACAAAACACAACGAAAAAGCTTAACCTGGAGGACTAGTAGTGGTACAGACAGACAGGCGGACAAAGTGCGGACAATAGCGTTCATTTTACTTTTGAAAAATGCGCTAAAACACTTAATAGGACTTTGTTGATGAAGGACTCTATTTTTGTTTGAGTGATTATTAATATATGATGAAAATTAACTGAGACTCAAAATTTTTTTTATTTTCGAACGGCTATCGATTTCGACGAGAATATGGCCGAGCTGAAAGACTTTACATGAAAACGTGTATAAAACAAATGTTTAACTTATAAATTGTACATAGTATGATGAGGAAATTGCGGAGACAAAAACATGTTTTAAATTTTTTTTATAATTTGAACATTGAACTGGAGTAAGACATGAAATAGCATTAATACAGATTATCTTACTTACCATGCTATTTCAGGTCTTACTCCAGTTCAATGTTCAAATAATAAAAAAAAAATCTTTTTTCTACAACTGTCAAAAAAACCTGTCATTTTCTGACGGATTTCGAAACGCGAAGTACTAGATTTTTAAACGGTTAATTAATAAGTAAGGTTGATATTGACAACGTGCGCGAAATCGTCAACAGTGAAAAAAAGTATTTCGCGCACGTGACAAAGTTGAACTTAAACAGCAATTTAATTAACAATCGGTTCAGTTGTAGAAAAAATATTGTATATAACGCTATCGCGAAGTTATTTCACGCATTTGACTGATATTTTAACTCGGCTTCGCCTCGTCAAAATACCTTCAGTCTCAATGCGCGAAATTGAACTTCGCGCTCTTGTTATATAAATAACTATTTTCTACAACTGTCAAAAAAACCTGTCATTTTCTGACGGATTTCGAAACGCGAAGTACTAGATTTTTAAACGGTTAATTAATAAGTAAGGTTGCTATTGACAACGTGCGCGAAATCGTCAACAGTGAAAAAAAGTATTTCGCGCACGGGACAAAGTTGAACTTAAACAGCAATTTAATTAATAATCGGTTCAGTTGTAGAAAAAATATTGTATATAACGCTAGCGCGAAGTTAATGCGCGAAATTGAACTTCGCGCTCTTGTTATATAAATAACTATTTTATTATACCTGAATCACAATCTCCGTTTTAAACACTCAAATGCGTGCGAAAAAAGGCCTTTAAAACACACGTGCTTTAAAGTTGCTAAGTAACGATACTTCAAGTATGACTTTTGAAACTGTCATCTGGATGAAATAAAAAATCCTCTTAGGTCGCTTTCTGTAAATGCAGAACATTTCTTTGGCTTTTGTACCTATCCTTTGGTTGAAGCTTTCACAAACGCGCGTAATTTAGGGTATGCTTCCAAATCTGTTCCACTTTTTAATCGCAGCATTGCTTTAAAGTTTTGAATGAGTGCACCAAAATATAGAAGATTTAAATACCTTTGACATTTCCTTCATATATGCCAGCATTATGGATGCATTTAAGACTGTATTCGTAACTTCCTATTCATCCATGGAAACAACTTTTCATATTCTTTATAATAGGCTTTACTGGATTTGGATTTTACACCTACCAACGTTTGTTTAGATTTTACAACAATCGATTTAATGGACGGTGTATTATCTTTTTCAACGGAAATCGTTTAATTCACAAAGACGATGCGATTTTTTAAGCAAACGTCAAGTGACATTTCCATGGCAATCGTGAAATTACGAACACCCATCCCACTTAATTAGACATGCATTCGAGTATAACGTCAATATGACTTCATTGTATTTCCTATTTTTAAATTATACTGCAGGTATAATAAAAAATACTATAAGATATACGTGTATAATTGTCTTTAAAGCACTTGCAACGTTAAAGGCACTCCGCTTTGCGTCGTGCCCTTAAACTCGTTGCGCGTGCTTTAAAGACTTGATTATACACTTGTATCTTAATATACTAAATTTGTCTCCGCAATTTTCTCATCATACTATGTACAATTTATAAGTTAAACGGTAAGTAGATATTTGTTTTATACACGTTTTCATGTAAAGTCTTTCAGCTCGACCTGAAGTGCTTTAATGACGTTTTTTCGCACTCTCAGGCGTGTTTTGAATGGCGATTCTGATGCAGGGAGGTATATTAAAAAATGTGGTTATATTGTCTATATCAAACTCGTTTTACTGATAGGGATAAATGAAGGGAAGAGAATCAAACGAAATTTATAGAGCAGCAGAAAGAATCTGGAGAAAAACTTGAAGAAAGTTTAATAAGAACGGATAGATAGTTGTTGTAGAGTAGAGTATATTATGAGAAAATTGTGGATAAGCTAGCGACGAGGAAAACATGGAGAAAGCAATGAAGAAATTGATGGAAGGAGAAATGAGAGAAAAGAAGGAGTAAAAATATAGAACAACATAACGATAAAGGGAGGATAGCTGGAAAAGGGAAGAGAGAGAGAGAGAGAGAGAACAGAGGAATGGAAAAAAGAAAACCTACAAGTAGAGGCGAATCTAAAAGAGGCGCGAACGTTTAGAGTAAGGGGAAATAAGGTAGTAATCGCGGAACATGGGAATATGGGAAAAGAGGAAGGAGGTTATGAGGGAAAAACATAGTGAACATAGAAAGAAAACGTAAAGAAAAAAAGATGGAGAAACAGAAAGAATACGAAAAGCAAACAAGGGAAATAAAAAAGAAAATGATTCTGAAAGATGATAAACAGAGGAAAAAGGAAGAATAGAAATAAGTAGGAGAGAGATACAAAAGGGGAATGGAAACAAAATTTTGTCAAGTTACTACAAGGAAGGAAGAAGAAGGAGGAGGATATGGAACAGAAAGGAAGATAGGAGTTTGAAGGCGGTGAGATAGCAAGAGAGGAGATCGAGCACCAATTAAACAAACTAATTAAAATGAAAGCGCTAGGGAGAGACGAGATAGGTAATGCTAATGGGAAGTGGATTCTCGCCACAGATAGGATCAAGGAAAGAATGATAAATCTAGCAAAAAGGATGGGAACGAGAGTGTTTACCGGAAGAATGAAAGGAAGGGCTAATTGCGACGATCTTCAAAAGAGGGAACAAGGATCATGTGGCAAATTATAGCGGAATTACTATAATGATTATGGCGTATAGAATCTATGCAATGATACTAAACAAAAGACTAAAAAAAGAATTGGAAGAGAAGAGAATGTTGGAAAAAACACAAATGAGCTTCAGAAAAGGGAGGGGAACGATCGACAGCATATATGTATTACACAGATTGGTAGAAAAGGGATTGAAAAAAAGGGCGGAAAGGTGTTCACGTTTCTCATGAGGCAGAGTTTGACAGAGTTGAAAGGGAAAAAGTATGGAAGATGATGGAAAAATTGATCAGAAGGAAGATCGAGAAACTATATGGAGAGACAAGATTGAGGTCTGAAGTGTTTTTCACATGTAATGGTGTAAGACAAGGATACCCACTTAGTCCAACTTTATTTTTTAACCTGTACTTAAGAGACATATGGATAAAGTAGAGGGGGTTAAAGAATGATTCTAGAACAAGAAAGTGCATATTCACACAATGGTTAGTGGGATAATCATGTACGGAACGGGTATGTGGAGGTAGGAGGAATGGGGCGAACTGGAAAAAGTACACAGAAGATGTGATTTATGTAGAACTCCATGATAGGCTTTGTCGTGTTAATTAATATATCAAAGTATAATAAAAAACCTATAATTTTTATTGTTTTTCTATGGGCTATCGATTTCGCCTTATAGGGCTTCATCAGGCCGTAGCTGAAATATATATATATATGCTAAACGCGTGAAATTTTTCAAAATCTATCTTACCGTCTACTGAATTACATTTTTTAACAAGATGGAAATGTATGATGTAATGTCCATATTTTTATATAAAATTGAATGTATGGGTGAGCGCTGAAATTGAATTAAAGGTTAGTAAATCGTATATCAGAAATAAATTAATTACTTACATGTTTTAAGTGTAGTGTGTGTGTGTATCAGTATGTGAGGTTATGTATGAGGCAGTGGCGTGTTATGTGAAAGTATGCATTGAATTGATGTCGAAATTAGGATCTTGACGCTTTGTGAATTTCATAGTGTTCTAGTATTGTTAATTTTTTGTAATTGTTGGTTTTGTGTAGAATTTTTGTATTGTCTATTGATATTGTGTGTTTTGTGTTATTTATGTGGGTACCTATTGCTGAATGTGAAATATAACGAAAGAGATGGACAAGGACGTGCTGAGGTCGAAAGGAGGAGAGCAGTAGAAGAAAAGATGAAAAATTAGCTGCTAAAAAGGGATCTGGATTCACAAATACAAAACAGATGGTGAAGATAGAGAATGCAGGCCAAAGTAGTAGTTATAAAGAGCTAATAAGGGAGTGGCTACCAAAGAAAAAGAAAAAAATATTAAAACAATAGGGAGACACATGTGGGGAAATGAAGAGAGAGGGAAAGAAAAATGGAGAATGTGTAGAATAAATAAAAGGACGTAGAACACTTGTTATGGAAATGTACAGAGGTGGCGGAGGGATGAAGAGGTGAGAAGTGGATGACGTGGCTTTTTAAGAAAGGAAATAAGTTTGGCCAAGCGGGTACGTACGTACGTTTGTTGGCAATTTTCTGAGAAAACGGCTCGACGGATTTTGTTGAAATTTTGTATATATGTTTTAGGCATACCGAACAGAAAAATAACGGGCCGGATTTTTGAAATGAAATTTTGGAGCGCCGTAACGGCATCGAACTTTTTTTTTTCAAATAGCAACCTAAAATTTTTATTCTATTATTTGGAAGACCTTATTTTCCTGTGTACAACCTACAAAAAATTGGGCCGGGTTATATTATCAAAAAACGGAGAAAAAAATTGTCAAAGTCAAAAAATTGTGTTGCATATGTGCAAAACGCAACGATCTTGTTTCTGAAGCAATTTAAACGAAATTTCTATGGTAAGTCCCTTTAATAAAAGCAAACAAAATTCATGCGCAAAAATTGTGTTGCGTATGCGCAGAAATGCAATTTTCTTATTTATGAAACATTGGCCCGTATGAATAAAAATAAGCAAATGCCTATACTTGCAAAATTCAAAGTAAATACTCGTAACTGCCCCTTCATACTGGTCTGTTTAGCAGCGTTGCACTACGTCCTGTCCTTCTGCTTAGCAGCGCTGCTAAATCGCCCGGTACGAAGGAACACTTACGAGTATTTACTTTAAATTTTGCAAGTATAAGCATTTGCTTTTTTTTATTCATACGGGCCATTAGCTTCCTAGCATGTGCTAGGTAGCTATTGCGATAGCCGTTTTTTGAACATTTCAAAATTTCATCAAATGTCGACGTTTTAGACCATTTTAAGCAACTTTTAAAGAATAAATTTTTCCCGTCTGTAAGTGCGTACATATGTTGGCAATTTTTGGTTTCAGCTAGGAAGCTATTCTGTCAAGAATTTGACACCTGGTTTTTTTTTACGAATTTTCCATTTTCCAACTTAATTTGTTTGTTATAATTAATATTTTGATATTAAAAAATGTTTTTCTAAAATTTCTTGTGAGTTTAATATGTATCCCGATTGTTAATCGGGTTTTATTATAATAAATACATGGGATTAGCCCCAAATACGGTGTCATTCGGGCCACTTAACAATTTTAGGAAGATTTCTATATATTTACCTATTGTAATGGTACCAGAATATTTATAGATTTATATACAGGGCGTTACATGACCGCATGTAAAAAAAATTGGGTGATAGAGAGGATCAAGACAAGCACTTTTTCCAAATAAACGGAGGGTCCAGTGTGTTTCGTTTGGGAGCGATCCCAAAGAAATTTGAACCATAATAGTTACCTACAAAGATGGGTAACACGTCTTTGAATATGTTTTCGGGTATGACCTATTCGATTTTGAAATTTTTTTTCAAAATTCTTACCACGAAATCCTTGGGGTGCGAAAAAAAATTCTGATTTGGACGAAATTTTGTATTTGGGGGTTTTTGAACATGAAAATGACGAATCTGGAATTTAGTTTTTGAAAATTCGAAAAAAAAATGTTCCACTGCAATTCTTGGCCGGACAACGAAAATGGAGACAATTCCACGAAATTTGTTGTGTACATACTTGATGAGTTAAGGAACAAATTTGTCGAACAGTTTTTTAAAATAACTTTCGCATGTAGGTAATTGAAAATGTTGCAAATGGTTACTGTATATTTAGCCTCAAACTTATTAGTGCACAAACTTTGGTCTGGGAACATCAGTATTTTGTAACTGAATACGTATATTAAATGTGTAAGAAACATGCATCCCTCGGATGAAGATTTTTGAGTGTCAAAAATGTAAAGACAAAGCAAAGTGTGTTTGCGATTTAGTTTGAATTACACGGAATTGATTTCTGTAAAACTGCGGTTTTCGTTGGAAAATTGAAATTCACTCCAAAAGCATCAAACATGCCGCTACACAGATCGGGCTGATATCAAAATATGTACTGAATGTTATTGGATTTTACACAATGCAAATTTTGTTACTTCAAAAATATACGGTACATTGAAAGTCTCTTACCTATCATAACAATACAAGGAACGTAGAACGAGATGCAACTAGAAACGACGGCGTAGGTTGGAGTGAGATCGAGAGCGCACGTAGGGTAGTTTTGTCCACCCGCGTTGTAAACCAGCGGCTGCGGTGGCCTGTGCAAACCCAATGATATGGGAACAAACGATATTAATCCAGCAAGAAGCCATACTGTCGCTATTGTCCCCACAGCTACTCTTCTAGTTACCCATCGTGTATACCTAAAAATAAAATTTCATTTCAATTGAATGTTGGAAACTCAGTTCAACTAAACGTGCTCATTCATTTGAGGGCAATACTGTCATCGAGTTGAGCGACTTTTAAGTCAATTAATAATTGAACATTGTTGTCAATAAATCCCCCCTGCAGATCTTAATTAAAGCGTTTCATATTTAATTAATTCCCCTGTGAAATAAAGCATCAGTTAAATGGGAACAATCCCGAAAATTAACTTCGCGTTAAACGTTTGTAAAGATTTTACAGAACGGCGAGTGCCAATCTCTCGTTTGTGTGAAAACATTTCGAATAGGAGAAAAATCGTTTACTTAAACTTAACAAAAAAGGGATGAGCGGAATCAGGGATTAATAATTGTAAACAAGGCACAACTTTGACAACGGAAGAAAAAAGTTTGTGAAATACTATAAGGTGTGGGTGGCTGCAGAGAAATTTAATAATTTCAAAATCTATGTAGCCTACTTTAAAATTCAAATCAAAAGTGAAAGATGAGAAAATATTACATTTCGTTCTCTATTCTTGATAAGCATACCTTCCATCGCCTTACGTATTTTCTTGCCGAAATACAATTTTGCCAAACGAAATTTTAAATGAAAAACGTAAATATGGGAAAATGTTTACTAGGGGACGTCATTTTCTACGGCTTTGTTGCGTCCTGTAACTCATTATCGTTTTATGTACGATATCCACTTAATGCAAAACCCATTCTATTATCTGTCGGAGGAGGGTAAGTGGAAACTTTATCTTTAGGGGTTGTTTTCATAACTTATTCTCGTCTTTCAGGTTTTAATGCTTTAATGTTGTAATTCGCAGTCTTTTGAATTCCGAGCCTTTTTTGTCACAGCAGGTTTTTCTTGATAACCTCTCGCTTAACCATTTTACGTATGTTTTGTTACGTTACTGTTCTCCTTTGTTGGCTTAGTTGATTTTTCACCGTTGCAGTTCTGACAATAAGACACTTTCTGCCCTAGTAAATTTATTCTCACCACGTAGCTCTAAAGCTCTATGGAAAGAGTAATCGGCCACTCCGCTTCTGGACCAAAAGGACCAGAACACGATGTAAAATGACTTCCGGACTTTCCTCTTGTGCACTGACTATTATTTTTATCCCTGTTACGTTTCTCATTATTAACTGGAAACTCACTCTCCATTTGTTTTGCTGGTCTGATTCGCCCCATAGTTGGCCACATTTATTGATGCATTCAAAGAAACGCTGGTCCTATCAAGGAAAAATGGTTACATTCTTGACACCTTTGTTTAGAAGCGGTGCGCCCTACATGTGTATTTTCCGTGTTCATTCCAGGAATTTATTTTCAGCAATGCGGATATCTCTTAAAATATTACATCCGTTTAAATTAGGGCTACGCAATCGTTACTTATATCCAACCGTTACAGAGAACGAAAGAATAAAATCTTGAAGAAATGAGTTACCTTCATTATTAAGAGATTCAATATTTGCTTGCTCTGGGCGTTGACGTATCCTGCTTTTTGTGTTTGCAGTTGGATTCCCTTAAGCGCAATTCAGGGGATTGATAAATTAACGGTTCCCGCATATTAAGGGCGCCAAAGGCATCCGATATTTCGCGGCCGAAGTTCCGTTTCATATAGCAGTATACGCTGCTGATATACATACGCCTGATGAAATTTGTTAAGGGGTTTAAAACGCTTGCAATCCAAAACTTATTGTAGGTCACGCTTCGTTTAATGTTAAAAGGAAATCTGTGCCCGGTAATTTTTTATTTCGACGAATGCTTATAAATTTAATATCTAAAGTTAATTGAAAAATTTCAGGAAATTGAGTTTTCGTTATATTAAGATAATACTGTGGGCGTATAAATAGCGCCATTACAAATTAAGGCGGGTAGCGAAATTAATAGTTATTTACATAAGAGTCAGGAAAATGTCATATTGCTGGCGAGGAAATATTGAAGTACGAGGCCTCAATGGGGCCGAGTACTTTAATTTCCGAGTCAAGTAATGTCATTTTACTGACGAGTTTTGTATGTATTAAATTTTACCCGAAATCGTGCTTTAATATAACATTTCAATTTTTATATAGAAACTTTTGTCTGTTCTGCCTCTGTCATGGAAACCAAAATTTCCTGATAGAAAGTAGGCATGAAAATGAAGGTTTCAGCACGATTTTGGGTAAAAGGTGCTCAAGCTCATGTAACACATTTTCTCCGAATATCCATCAGCAGACCGTAATGTTATTGATAATTTTCATTTTTTCCTCGTATTAGATTTTGTTCTCTTTCTGTCTGCTTTGTTTGGTATGTTTGTTTGGTGTTTAGTCATGTATAAGGATTGGAAATAACAATACTACAAACACAGCATTTCGTGTCTAACGACGCACGTTTAGGGCTCTATCTGGTGGCTAGCTAAAATATTAGCAATTAGGTTCATTGGGAGGGCTATATCACAATGATGGTTTTGTAAAGTACCTCAATTTGGACTTTGTTTACCAAGTGTGACTTTAATGTTTTACCGGTCTTCCAATATATAGGGGCAAGGATCTCAAGATAGGTTCTTCTAACTTTAAGTAAATTGCTGAACATTTTTCTGTATACGAATCGTAGGTTCCACACGGCACATTCTCTACAATATTCATGTCAACATTTTTAGGGCCGGCCTTTGGTTTCAAACTCGACGCATCATTTGTCGAGTGGTTGGGGAGACTTTTCGCACCGTTGCCACAGCGAATACAGCAGATGCTGCCCTAAACTAGATCCGCTGCAGTAGGTAATACACTTCTATGTAATCAATGGCAATAATAATAATAAATAATAATATATAAGTAATTCGTGTTGTTATACATATTGTACTTACACATGTCAAGGTTGTACTGGAGTGAAGTTAAAACAGGTTACAATTCACATTAAAGTTTACAATTTAAAAACTTATCGTAAGAATAAGAGGAGTGAGATATCAACAGTTGCTTGATGACTAGTTTAAATTGGTGTAGTGGTAAAGACCGTATTTTTGGGGGCAGTTTATTATAAAATTTGTGAGACAAATAGGACAATGTGGATGTCGATATTTCGTCTAGACCGCTGAATTAATAACTGTTAGTCAAATTGTCTTTTCAAATTAGTTAATTAGTCTGGGGAGGTTTTAAGCACGGAACGATTATTGCGTATCTAGTTGTGGTTTATTTTTACCTTGTAAAAGATTATTCCCTAGAATTTTTAAATGTAGGGCAATTTATCGTTTATTTCTGTTTTGTGAAATCATTTAAGTGACAGTTCTGTTTTAATTTATGGGCACTTTGATTACTTTTTTTAAAAAGTTGATGTCATTTATTAGCAATAAGAATGCATTTTAAGGGTCAAACTGCATGCTTTTCGTAGAAAATTATTATCTGAGATAAGAAAAACGTAGTATTGATTGGTTGTCATGTTACGTGCTTGATAATTGGAGGAGGCTTTTTGAATTTTGATAGTAAGAGAGGCACATTATATAACATGAGCTTTTTGCCAATTTCGAAGCCGGGGGACTGTTCGTTAAAAGCTTAGAAGCGTCGCGTCTTGCGTTTCGTATTGTTCGCCGAGTAAAAGTCGAGGTCGAATGGATGTTTTGGAGAAAGACTTAAAAGTTGGGTGTAGCATTTGTATTGAAGGTCTCGTCTATTTCGTTTCGAACGGCCATCGTTTCATATGTCGTGTGTTTGGCCAGTCAGTCTAGTTCGATGGAGTAAAATTACATTCCTGTGACCCGAAGAGAAGTTAAAGAACAAGTGTAGTGCGATATGATTTATAAGTTCGGTAATGGTTTTTGCTCGGATTTTTGTGATTTTAACGGAAAACTGTAAGTAGTTCAAGATTTCATTAATTTGTTTAATTGTGATCGAACGCTTATGCGGGGTCATAAACGGCCCTTGTTAAGGATTGTTTTTATGATTATTTTGATTTGTGTGTTTAAAATAAGTTTCGTTTGTGTGAATTCATGTAAATCGTGTTTATTTGAACCCTTTTAACGATCCGGATGAATGTCTCATACTTAATTATGGCCTCGATTATGGCAATCAAACTCATATACGGATAAAACCTTTTATACGAAAATATTGATTATAAAATTTCCCAAGGCACGTCGGCATCCGCTACTACGAAAAATCTCGACAAGAGTTAAATTTAATTATGCCGGAAACTTAGCAGCCTTATCCCTCTCCCAACAAGTCCAAAAAGTTTGACATCTACCATAACCCTGGGTGAGGTGAAAATTTATCTTGAGAACACATATCCTGGGTCGTAATTTGGGCTCGATTAAACACAAATCTTATCATGTACAGATGATTTATTCCACAAAAATCAATGAACAAGGCTGTAAGAAAGAAATGCACTCGACGCCTGAGGACAAATACCACCCACATGTGATCGATTGAAACATTAAATTTAAATGAAGCTCTAATTACGTTAATATTAATAAATCCTTAACATCCAAAAGATCCAGAAAAGACACCAAAAAAATACAAACACCAACTGATGTTGCAATAGTGGCTTTTTGGTGGTGGATAAACTTCACTTTATCGAGTACCGAGAAAACCTTATAGAAAAAAACCCACCTGTCATTACTGCTTAATAGACACAACACTAAGTACTTTTTTATAAGCCTAAACAACGCTTGAATTATAACATTCACTTTTATAACGACGTAACAGAATCTCTCCGACCACTATCTAAACTTTCTTCTACATCAACTTTATAACCACCAAGACTGACTGTCTTCACCAAAATGCTTACAGAAACTTTTTCTTTATCATCTTGTTAACGTACATCAATCAAAATCACATTAGTCACCAGCAGAACTTCGAATGAAAGACCAGCGGCCCCCTGAATTATAACATTCAAGACTTTTATAACGACGTAACAGAATCTCTCCGACCACTATCTAAACTTTCTTCTACATCAACTTTATAACCACCAAGACTGACTGTCTTCACCAAAATGCTTACAGAAACTTTTTCTTTATCATCTTGTTAACGTACATCAATCAAAATCACATTAGTCACCAGCAGAACTTCGAATGAAAGACCAGCGGCCCCCTACCGGAGGTAAGCCATTAAAAAATCACTACGCAATTGTTTCAAGATGTCCCTCAAATGTTTTAACGTAATTTCACTGAACGATAAAGCAATCGCAATACAAGGCGATTATTTATACAAAATTAAACATTTAATAATTCTTAAGCAAAACAACACTGACTTCGAACACAAATACTATGATCAAAATTGTGGCCAATTTAAATTGACAACCACATTTAATCTTAAGAAAGCTTGAAATTCGGCTCATAGGGGGTGGCCCATCATTACTATAGCTGCTGGTACCATTGTACGAATGACGTAGTTTACATAACAATATATGTGTCTTTCAATAATTTATATTACTTTAGATTTAAGTGAACTAAATCAATTTAGATGTAAAAATGCGAACTTAAACGAAAGAATTTTGTTTGATTGTATCATAGTGTAAGAATGTATACTCATAGATACCTTGTAATGTTACGATTCTCACGGTATAGGTAATAATAAATTCCAATTTAATTGTAAGATTGTTGTACAAAAAGACTCCCAAATTCAAAGAGACACAGAGTACGGTATAATGACTATAAAATATGATGCAAGGACCAAAATGTTTATATGCAGGTACCTCAGTGTATTTACACTATGCCATTAATTATTAATTTGTGATTGGCGTTTCATGGTGCACCTACTGTCACTTTTGCCCCTGATTACCTTTTAATACATCCGGGAAGAAAAGTGACGCTTGAATGGAATAGCAAGTAAGCGGATTCAGTCCACGGAATAAAAAAGTGTCATTTCTATGCCAACGCATTTGCAACTACAAGTCGTTTTCTTTTAGCTAAAGTACGCTTAATTGA